CACCTCACAAGAAGCTAAAACCCAAAGGCAATATTGACCTGAGGCTAAATACATTTATTGGAAACACCAAAGAGAGCCACCCGCAGGTTGGGGGAATCGAAATTGATACTCCGAAATTAGGTCTGGGACCCTTAATATTGTCCATAGGTGTTCCAGGTCAGAAGTACCTCTCCGGCTCTCAGCCAAACACAAATCCTCTCTGGAGAAAGGTGTTCCCATCACAGAGACCCTTTTGACGCCCAAAGATTAAGTTTAACAAAAGTGAACTCACAATTGAAAGTTACCACACACAAGGATACAAGTCACCACAGATTTAGATTCCTAAGGACTGCAAATGTTGGAATCCTCAAATATAGACAATTAAACAACTGTTTTCAAACACTGAGCAATAGGAAACTCAAGATTGAGAGAAGAGCAACAAATGAAATCAAACCTTACCCCAACTTTCTGCAAGGAGGGACTTTCTGGAATGCAAAGCAGGGTGGGGAACACAGAGTCCAGCAGCCTCACTGATTTGAAGAGATACAGATTGGAGTCTGGGGAGGACAAGATACCTAGAATTTACAGGACAGAACGCCAAAGAAAAGGGAGCTGGGCAGAGAAAAGGCTTCTAAAATTTTCCTGGAGTCTCCTTGAATCTTTGGCTGAATTCCACTCAGTGCAGCATAAAGTACATACCTGAGGCTGAGGAAAGAACATCTGGGGAAAGAACAATTACCAGGGAGCAGCAGACTGAAAGCTTCCCAGAGCCACACAGAACCAGGAATCACTGGAGTTGTTTGTTTTTCATACAGCTCTCCAATTGTTTCAACATCTTCTATTGAAAAAGACATCTCGTATCATTATCTCTATTCAAGATTTAACTTGAGTCCTGGCTACTACAGTAAGTTAAGACATAAATGCATCCAGATTGGCAAAGAAGAAGTACAACTGCAACTGTCTTTATTTTTAAGCAACACAATTGTGTACATAGAAAATCTTTTAAAATATGTAAAGTTACTAGAATAAGTGAGGTGAGCAAGACTGAAGGATACAAGGTTCATACATAGAAACCAATTAAATCTCTATACACTAACAATGAACAACTAGAAATTGAAATGGAAATACACCATTTAGGATTTGGGGGATACCAATCTGGAACACCAATAGCATCTCAAAATACTTAGAAATAAATTTAATGAAACATGTACAAGGCCAGTACACTGAGAACTGCCAAACTGATGGTGAATATATCATACTCATAAGTCAAAAGATTCAATATTATAAATACATCATTTATTCCCAACTAAGAGATTTAATGCAAAACCAGGAAAATTCCCCAAAGGTGCTTTTTTTTGGTAGAAATTGAAACACCAATTCAAGAATTTATATGAAAGTGCAAAGAACCTAGAATAGCCAAAACAATGTTGAAAGGAAGAGCAAAGTGAGAAACTTATACTACCTGATTTCAAGATTTATTATTAAGCTATAGTAATCAAACCATGTAATATTAGCATAAGGATAGATATATTTACAGATTAATGGAACAGAATAGAAAAATCAAGAAGTAAATCTAGACATATATGGTAGTAAATTGATTTGACAAAGATAATAAGGAACTTAAATGTAAAAAGATTAGTCTTTCCAACAAACTGTTATGGAACAGTGTGGATAAAGTGAAGGCTCCTATGGCCAGGATCCTCACCTGATTTATATAAAGTACTCTGCATGTAGGCAGAGATGAAGGAGTTTTACATACCTGCAGACTGTTGGATGCAGACATAATTCTAGTGCTTGACCTATTGCTACCAGGAGAATAAGCTGGGTAATAAACCCTTTCTCCCCAAGAATGTTCCATTTTCATTCCTTGATCTCACTGAATCCATAATGAACTTGCCGGGGGCTGAAACCCATTGGCAAGACAAACAGATAACCATATGAAAAAAAATCTCAACCTCTACCTCACACTATACAGAAAAATACTCAAAATAGGCAAAGGCCTAAACATAAAAACTAAAACTGCTAGAAGAATGTATAGGAGACAGTCTTTGTGGCTTTGAGGTAGGACACAAAAAGCATGATCCTAAAAGAAAAAAAATTCATAAATTAGATAATTAAAATTGAAATTTTCTACTCTTAGAAAGATACCATTAAAAAATGAAAAGTCAAGCCACAGATTAGGAGAAAATATTTACAATACACATACCTGACAAAGGATTTTGCATCCAGAATATATAAAGAACTATCAAAACTTGTAAGAAGACAAGCCACCCTATAAAATATGTGTAAAAAGATGAGTAAACATTTCACCAAAGAAATATTGCAATGGCCAAAAAGCCCATGAAAGATGCTTAACTTTATTAGTCATCAGAGGAATATAAATTAGAAAACCACAACAAGTTGAGTTACCATTACAGATTTATTGAAATGGTTCAAATTAAAAGTTAGGTAATACCAAGTATTGATGGGGACGTGAGGCAATTAGAGCCTTCATGATCTTCTCAGGAATGTTAAAGAAAGCTTTATCCATAACATCCACAAACTGGAAACGACTCATATGCTCACAGCAAGAAAATGGATTTAAAAAATGTGGTATATCCATACTATAGGATATTATTCATCAATAAAATGGAACAAAACTCTCATACACATAGCAGTGTGAATGAATTTCATACTGTTATGCTGAGAGTTGTAGGTTGAATTGTTCCTTCAAAAAGGTGTGTTGAAGTCCTAACTCCTGTGAATGTACCTGTGAACGTGACCTCATTTGGAAATAGGGTCTTCGCAGATATAATCAAGTTAACATGCAGTCATCCTGGATTGGTGTCCATATAAAAGAAGAGACACAGAGACACAAGGAAGAATGCCATGTAGAGATGGAAGAGACTTGACTTACGCTGCTGCAAACCAAGGAACACCAAGGACTACCAGCAACCACCAGAACCGGGAGAGAAGCCTGGACCAGACCCTCCCTCTGAGCCTCTAGAAGGAACAACCCTACTAACACACTAATTTCACACTTCTATCCTGAACTGTGAAAGAATACGTTTCTGCTGTTGTAAGCCACTCAGTGTATAGTACTGTTACAGCAGCCCTAGGAAACTAATACAGTGAGCAAAAGAAGCCAGATAGATACAAAAGACTATATACCTTACAATTACGATTTTTATGAGCAAAAGAAGCCAGATACAAAAGACTATATACCTTACAATTACGATTTTTATGAATCTCTAGAAAAGACAAATCTAATCTATAATGACAGATGGCAGATCAGTGGTTACCTGAGTATGGGATGGGGGGTTATTGGAAAAAGGCAAAAAGGAATATTTTGTAGTGATGGAAATATTCTCCAACTTGATTGTGGTAGTGGTTACATGGGTATATATACATTTAAAAAACTCAACAAATGGTATCTTTAAAATGGGTGACAGTTTTGCAAATGAACCAGATTGAACTTCTGGAAACAAAAGATGTATAATTGTCCAAATTTAAAACTCAATGTATGGACCCTGTTATGCTGGGTTGGAATCTGAGATAATGGTGTGAACACATATTTATTTTAAGATAGATGATAGATGTGATAGATAGATAGATAGATAGGAGATAGAGATGTGTGTACCTATGAATTAGTATACACATACACATTTCCTATTTCTGTCCACTGAGAGGATCTTGAAGCAGCACCAATAGGCATGCTTCATGCCCAGATCTTGGTTTCTAAATACCATTGTCCAGTAAAAGGAACCAGACCCCTTGATGATATGCCTGATTTCTATGTCTGGGGCAGTGAAAATACAAGATGAGCCTAAAGCATCTTGAGTGTCAGACAGTAAGGAAGTGCTTTTTTAAAAAGTCAAAAGGCAGAGAAGCCAAACTGAAAGAACTTCAATGACCAAAGTTGCAACAATTTAAGCAGCAAACATATCCCCATGAAACCATAGTGATGTAAATAAATGGTACAAAAGAGAGAACTCTGGCTTATAGAAGACTTCTAATTAACAAATGAAGGAGGGCTAAGGGAAATAGAAAATCACTAGTGAAACATTACAATAATGTTTAGCACTGATGGCTGCTAAAACTAGTGACCAAACTATAGGGAGAAACAGTATATTTACACAGTCTCAAAGTACCTCCTCCAAAAAACATATTAATTACTATGGCATTTTTAACACATGTCCACAAATCCTTTGATACTCTTCTCTCCAGGAGGTTAGCTTAATTTTCCTCTGGGTGAATGTGGGCTGGATTTATGTCTCACTTATAATACAGAGCTGGGGAAATGGGGAAAGTCACATTCAGAGTGGAGAAACCAAACTGATACCACTTTAAGCAGGTTAATCAAGGTTAGCACCACTAGTCAAGAGACATATCAACATCAGACAAATCCAAATTGAGGGACATTTTATAAAAGGCCTAACAAGTATTCCTCAAATGTATCAAGACCATGAAACACAAGGAAAGACTGAAGACCTGTCACAGATTGGGGGCCTGAGGAGATGGGATAATAAAATGCAATGTGATATCTCAGTTGAGCAGAAGAAAGACATTAGTGGAAAAACTAAGAAAATCCAAATAAAGTCTATAGTGTAGAGACTAGTATTGAATCAACATTAATGTCTTAGTTTTGGTTAGTGCGCCATGGCTATTTGAGGTATTAACATTGGGGGAAGCTGGAGGAAGGGTGTAGGGAGTTCTCAGTACTCTCTCTGCAACTCTTCTGTAAGTTTAAAAATTCTTTCAAAATAAAGATTTTATATAAATTAGGTATAGCTCTTTAAACACATATATACATGAAACATATATATATACATCACATGTACATGAGATTATGCACCAGATAGTCCTAATCCAGGCAAACGTGGAGGATCACATATATTCGTAGAATTTTCTATCAGCTCCCAATGTACTATGGGAGAGCGAATCGATGGAGAGGTATGCAATAGCTTGTAGTTTAATGATACTAAGAAAGCTACTGTGGCTAAGGCACAGTACCTTGTGGCATTTATTCCACATATGTCTCAAATTGTCCTTAAATCTTTCTTCAAACTTTCAGATTTTTATATTGTTTTCCCAAATAGATTTTAAATTCCTTGATGTCTAGAGACCATGCTTTAATTTCAGTGGCTCCTCCTATTTTATTATCTAATCACTTTTAAATGTAGCTCTAGGTCCACACTTTCCATACCACTAGGGGATACATAATCTGCAGGTGTCACGTACTAAAGATCTCATTTTGATTTGTGTTGTTCTGTGGATTGAACTGTGTCCTCCCCAAATTTATGTTGAATCTATTGCCTATTGCCTTAATATTGATCGTGGTTATCCCCAGGGAGTGGAATTTTGGATAATTTTCACTTCTTTCTTTACACTTTTTCCACATCTCTTTATTAATAAGGACATAATACTTGGGAAATATCAGAATCAATAGCTCCCAAATGGTGTACTGAGGCATCTGGACACAACAAACCCACAAAGACACCGCAGGGTTATTTTAAGCTTTGAGGGAATTGCAGTGACATCTGTTGGTTGCTCTGCGAATGACTAGGCCTCGTTGTCCAGTTTCAGCGTTAGATCATGCAACATTCCTTTCAACGATGTCATATCTTTGTGAAGCTCATTTTTTGTTGGTTGCTGTGATAAAAAGCAAATACCATGTGAAAATCATTGTGGTACAGGAAATGAGATGATGATGTCCAACATGATTCCAAGGTTTGAGAAGTCGTGTGGTGCCTGGCGCATATCCCGTTAGTAAATAACTGTGGTTATTTAAGAATGAAATATAAATGGTTTTTCCTTTTTTCTTTCGATGTATGTGTATTATTTTTAGATGGCTATGAAATATGCCTTGAGTTATTTAGACTTAACCACTTAATCAAAGGACTTCTTTGGTATTTCTTTTGGCCTAGAAGACCATAAAAAATTACTCTAAGGGTACCATAAACAGAGAAAGTTTGGGAACCTTTGTTCTAGGGCATTTGTTTCTAGCCTTTCAGTGTATACAAACGAATGTGTCTCTCTTCCTCATAATTGAATCCATATGTATATGCAGTTTTATAATGGGTACTATGAGCTATCATTTTATAGTTGAAGAAGCTAAGCTCCAAAGGAAAGTAGTCACTCAGCTAACGAGGCCCCTCTTGGGCACACTTGGCTGCTTCCCTCTCTGTGACCTCGAGATGGCAGACCTCTGTGGTTCTGATGAGTACCAGCCTCATCAACCAACATTTGAAGAGACTTAGGATTACTCTGCCTTACTCTGGGCTGCTGGCATGGTATGGTCCCTCATTCACTGAGAAATCAGAAGTGCTCCAATGTTATTACCCACTTTGCTGATTCCTAAAAAACCATATACCCTTTGACATAAGATTCTCAGAAAGGAAACCCACTGAGCTATTATCAACCTCTGGTACCTCCTTGTAAATGAACTCACCAGAGCCTTTCCTGAGAAGTTCTGATGAGAAAAAAAAATAAGGTCTTTGAGAGAAGCTGGTAAGGTTTCAGGGCTCACTGAAAACAGACTGATCCAGAGAGCTGTGTGCAGAAAGGATGCCAAGGAGTGACCATAGGAGACGCAAGGAACCGAGGAAGGAGGACTGGGCAAGGAGGGCCGGCCTGCAATGCAGATGGAAATCGGTCATAGTCATCCTATGCGGCACTCTAGAAATGAGGGTTGTCTCAAATTGAGGCAAGTGGGTCTTTGTATCCCAGTAGGAGCCAGTCACTGTCCATGGGTCACCCCTGGAAGGAGATGTGACCAAAAGTGAGGCAGCTCCGTGCAAACCAGACAGGTCACAGTGACTGATGTGGCTGTGAACCATCAGCAGATAAAAGTCCCAGCAGATGGACACTGAAGAAAAAGTTTCAACTGTGCTAAGTGCCCTGAAAGAGAAATCTAAAGAGCTTGAGTGTGTGTAAAATCTAAAGACCAAATATCTTAATCCAATTTGGAAAGGGGCAGGGGGTGAGGGTGAGCTGGGGGAAGGGTATGCACAGCTTCAAGGAACAGTTCCCTGGGAGGCTGACATTCAGACTGAGGCCTTTAGCTTGAGGAAGAGCTGCACAGATTAAGAGGTGGGGAAAGCAATAATGGCCAGCACATAAACAAAGGTCCTGAGGCAGAAGGAACAACTGTTAGCTGAAGTCAGGGCATAAGGAACTATTGCAAATTGAGGCTGGCATGCAGCCTGAGTCAACCAGGACAGGTGTGCAGGGAGGATTGGGGACCTTATCCTTAATGGAAGCCACTGGTCAGGGAGGTAAGTAACATGATCAGATCTCTCACTTCCTTTCTGGGATTCTTTTCCTCCCCTCAGGCTGCCCTCTGATGATTGGTCTAACCAATTTCACCTGGATGTAAATGAGGTTTGCCTTTAGTCCCCCTGTGCCTCTGTGAGAGGTCCAGAGCCTCTGTGGCAGCCACCAGCCTCTCTTCAGGAACCACCAAAGGCCCTGGATGTCCACATGTGTCTGAGGGCCCTCAGAGAAGAGAGCAGGGCCTGGGAGACAATGGCTGTCCTTGTCTTCCTCCCAATGCTCCCTCCAGCCAGAGCAGACACAGCTACCCTTTCTAAAAAGAGCCCTGTGGGGAAAGAGGGAAGGGAAGTGAATAATCCCTTTGCTGAGTTCCCCAGAAGAAAAGGGTGGAACAAATTAGCAGAGCTCAAAGGTCCCATCTGGGAAACCACTTAGGGTTTCCAGGATCTGACCTGACGCAACTCTGATGGCACCTGAGCAATTAAGGAAACACTGGTGCATCCTCCCTCTGATGTCTGCCTGCCTCTGTGGGAACTTCTCCCCCCAAGAAGTGGCTGAGGATCTGCAGACACCCATCCTGCCCATGGCCTCTGAGGTGGCTGGTCACCCCGTGCAAAACAACAGCATACATCACAAGCTGATCACCACATGCTGACCACTTTTTTTTTTTAAACACTCCAAATAATTCAATTGAATCTACCACTCACTTGACTTCTCTTCTCCCTGGCTTATTATGATGATCCCATTTAACCATTCCTTTACCCAAGGCAACCATTTAAATCAGCTAATGCATGGTACAATCCCCAAAGGTAATTAGCCAAGACAGGATGGCTGGTGAATGACAGTCATTTATTTGACAGTCATTTATTTAGCACTTCATATGTTCCAGTCATTGTTCTCTGCGCTTATCAGGCATTTGCCCATTTGATCCTCACAATAATTCCATGAGACAGATAACATTACTGCCCCATTGTACAGATGAAGAAGCTGAGTCACAGAGCAGTTAACTGACATTCCTGAGGCCATGGTTGCTAAGTGGTGGACCTGGATGAGAGTGTGGTTTAGCCCAGGCACAGAGGGTACCCTTGGGCCTCTGTGGAATGCCTCAGGGCAGCAGAGTGGCCACCTCCAACCCCTTCAAATGGGTCAGAGGATTTGTTTCATTGATTTTCTCTCTAGCATAAAGATTTTTAATGTAAGAGGTTTCAAGACTTCAAATAAATTTGCCAATCACTGGTGTGAGAGTTTTGTCTAAAGAAGCAGGAGAACTGCCCTCTCTGCTTTGAAATTATGATGTAAAGGTCTTAATTAGAACCCACGAATTCCTATTTAATGAACACATCACGTGATTCTCAGCCTCAGAAGCATTTGGGAAAGAAAGAGGTATTTGCCTTTGGGTTCCAGCTCAGTGTTCTAGTGGAGCCTAAGTCAAGTCCTGAGCCTCAGTGCTTTGCCTATAAAATGGTCACAGTTCCCCCCTCGCCTCCTCCTAGAGCTATAGTAAGGTGCAATGAAACCAGCGCAGTGCTCCAGAAGGTAGGGAACCATCACAGCACAGTGATGCACTCCTTCCAAGCCACATCTGTGGGTGGATCTGCTTCTGAGCTTGTGTGAGGGCAAACCGGAAAGGTAGATGGGGAGGGATACTCTGGGGTTGGGTGATGGAGAATCCAAACATTGACATTATGGAGAAAACACAGGCTGGAGCAGAAGTGTTTGTCAGAGTATGTGTAGACCCCTGGCTAACCACTAACCCTGTGGCCAAGATGTTGAAATACACCTCCCATCCCCAGGTGGGACAGTCCAGGGTGGGGAAGAGAGCCTGCAGAGAGGGCAGGGCAGTGCAGAGCATGGGCTCAGGAGTCAGACAGACATGGGTCTGCATCTGACTCCTATCACAAGCCGGCTCTGTGATCTTGAGCAAGTAGCCCAGTGCCTCTCTGGCTCAGTTTCCTCATTTGTAAAATGGGAGGAATCACAGTGTGTCCCCCCTGGAGCTAATCATGAGGATCAAGGAAGGCATCACCTAGGACCTGTCAATAAGTGTCAGTGCAGCAGGCACCACCCTCAGGCTGCAGCTCAACTGTGCAAGGCAAAATAATTTCATCTTTCCATAGTAATTTAATCTCTGCCTTGAGCTTCCCACTCAGCTGTGATGATGGACACAGTCTCAGTGAGTTTGGGGCAACCCTCCAATCTTCCCCTGGAGAAGCTGGAGTTACAGGTGCTTATATAACCCGAAGTTCTGGGGGTTGTTGGTATGCACCCCTGAAGCATTTGCCCCACAGTCCCCTGGGACATCTCTCAGTGCAGTCCTCAGAGCACAGCCATCAATCAACAAAGCTTGTTGCCAAGACAACCCTCATTCCTTCCTTTTTCCTGCCTCTTGCCTACAAGGTGCAAGGGCCCAGGGGCCATTTCTCAGGTCTGGACCTCACCTGGGTGGGGCAGCCAGGTGCCTGGACTTGCCCCCAGCCCTCCCCTCCCAGGGCTGGTGCCTCTGCAGCTCTCCAGAGAAGCTCCTCGGAGGCCAATGCCTGCTTTCACTCCAGACCTTGCTCCCACCTTTCTACTAAGCCACCTCATCCTCATTTCTTCTAAGGTTGGGCTTTGGGGCATCCATGCCAGGCAGGCTCCTTTGTTTCCACTCACCACCTGTCCCATCCTTCTTCTTGATCACACAGGCTCAGCACCTCGAATGCAGAACACAGAGTGAATCCAGGGGGAAAAATAACTGTTAATATCTTAAACAAGTATACCCCACCTCATTTGCTGGGACTATGAGGTCATGGCCTAGCAGAGAAATGCAATGCTGTGGGGAAATGGCATGAAAGTCAGAGGACCAAAGTCCCTACAGAGTTTGAGCATGGCTGCAAGGACGCGATTGAAAAGACATCTTAGAAGAAAGCAGTTAACAGGGTCCAGTTTTTGGAAGATGGAAAGAACTGGGGGAAATCAAAGTCTCCCACTGCGACTGTGCCCAGGACATCTGGGTGTGGACTGTTGGAAAGGGCTTCTGGGTCCTTTGTAAGGGAGTTGGGCTCAATGGGGAGAGGCAGTGGGAAGTTGGGCTAGGTACACAGTCCCCCACCCCACACATGTACTCAAAGAGCTCAGGCCTCTGGGGCTCGATGGGGCCATGACTGATCCTTCCCCAGTGCCAAACTTCCAAACAGCACCCCAAAAGGAGAGACAAAATAAGCTCTCATACTTTCCTTGTGCATAGCAGCAGCTTTCACAGCTAAAGAGAGGGCAAGAGGAAGGGAGGAGAAGGACAAAAAGTGGGATTGAGGGTACCTGGGTTTCTCTACCCAGGACCTCTCCCCTGCACAGTTTTCCAAAATGTTTCACAAATCATGATGCCCTTGAAATTGCCCTTCAACCTCTTGTGGGTCTTCTTGAGCCAGCATGATGTCCCCCCACCCCATATGGTCTCAGAGAGGTGACAGAAGGTGACAAGGGTGAGGGCAGGACCCCAATGCCATCAGACATCTATCTCCAAGGAGGTCTTTCCCTCCCTCTAACCATACTTGTCCTCGCAGGGGAAGCTCTGGCTTGGCTGAGGGCCCTTGTCCACTCTCTCCTTTTGCCTGTGAGGGTGTTGCTGGAGAAGTGCCAGGGTTCACAGAGCTAGTCCCAGCATGGCCACCAACTCGGTGGCCCTCCCTCCTCGGAGTCTGCACGTGGAAAATGAGATAGTCAGGATGAAGATCTGAGGCCCTTCCAGGGCTGAGATTCTAAATCACCACCTGCTACAGCCAGATGTCTTTACTGAAAGCAGACAGGGAGCCTGCTTTGATCTCAGAAGAGGGCAGGATGGGCGCCCAGAGCTAGGCCAAGGGTGCGGCTGATGGGGTGGGAGGACAGGCTGGTGGGGAGACTGTTCAGATGGGAGCTTTCCAAGTGCTTGGTGTGCCAGACATTCAGGCCAGCTCCTGGGCCTGGGTGTGTGACAGGATAGAGGAGGGATAAGAGTTAAAATGCCCAGGACATGGTTCAGCCAGCGACTCAGAAGTGGGTCAGCTGTGCCTCTGTGTCTGGAGAGTCTCCAGGGGGGACTTGGTGGGGTTGGGACAGGGTGCAAGTGCAGGCCACGTGCCAGGGTAGGCACGTGTTTATGGATTTCCTGGGCACTTGGATGTGCTGAGTGTCCAGAGAGGTCACGCACACACACACATGCACACGCAGCTGTGTGTCTGTGTCTTCAGGTTTCAGAGTCAACAGAAGCCTTTCCAGGGAAGAAACCAGAGCCAGAGTTGAGCCAAGCTCCAACCCAAGGTGAAGGTTCAGCAGGACCGCCGGGACTGCTGGGCTGGCAGTTAGGTTATCTGATACTTTAATACCAGGATAAATAGCTGAAGTCCCAAGCAGGCCTGGAGCATCCTCAACTCCCACCCCACCCTGAGACTCCAGTCCCAGGGTCCCAAGACTTCCCGCAGACCAGCAACCAAAGGGTGAGCACTGGGTTCAGCAGGGAAGGACACTGGGGACCTACCCGGCATAGTATCTGGCGCCCCTGCTGACTGACCAACTGCTTGCTCCTAGTGGTTACACAGACAGGTCCCCTCCCTGCTTCCAGCCCACTCCCTTACCGTTCCTGCTGTCCCTTTCTTCGTTTTCATATCCTTCTTAGCTGCAGAAAAAAATCTGGCTTCAGAAGAGGGGCAGAGCTGCCCAGATTACTGCATGTTCCCACCTTGAGTTTTGGGGTCCCAATGGCAAGGCCAGACCCTGAGGAACTGCTCCAGAGGCTGCCGCTGAGTTGAGGCAGCAGACAGAGGGCTCTCCATGCTCAGGCCACCTGTCCCCTCCACGCCCCCTTACCCAACAGCTCAGGAACTCTGTCCCCTGCAGCCAGCCTTCTGATGAGTATTCCACACTAGCTCAGCCCAAAAGCAGCGAGGCAGCCCCTCCCTGTGGCTGTTAGCTGACAACCCAGAAAGGGTTTTAATCTCAGAAACAGTCAAGGTGGGGAAGGGGAACGTGGGGCGGCCGGGAGGGCCATATGGAACCTGTTTGGGGAGCTGGGTCAGAGCCCAGCTACACCTCCATGTGCTGGGGCACCAGGCCAGCTCCGGGCTCTGCCTGCTCAGCTCCAGCCAGAAAGGGGAAGGAGCGTGGGAGAGAGCAGACAGGCGGCCGCGCGGGGACAAGGCGTGCTGTGTGCTCGGGGGCTGCTGTCCTTTAGTTGTGGACACCCTGGCTGGCTGCCCAGTGACCGGCTGGGGGGCTGGCTTTATTGCCCCACAGCGTGGCGATATGCTAGGTTCACAGAGGTTGGAGCGGTATTTCAGGTCTCCTCAAGACAGTTGCTGGGCTCCTTTGTGAACACCACTCCCGCTCAGTCCTGCTGTTTCCTCGGCCTGGTTCCTGGTGGAAACGGCAATACCATTTCATCTTCACTTTGGCTCCCCTGCCTGCACACACAGCCAGTCCTGTCTGTCTGTCTACCTGTCACAAATGTAGTCCCACAGCCGGATGTCAGGCTGACACAATGCCAAGTGGTTGGGTTGACATTTAACCCATCTGACTAAGTATTTGACTACATTGCTTAGACTTTAGCTTCATCACACTGAACTTTGGATTGATCCAGATTTTGGACTGACCTTGCTGGATTTTGGAGCAAGCTCTCCAAATTTCCAACTCACCACCTCAGTACATGTGAGGCCTGCCTGAACTTCTGTCTGGACTCCCAGGACTTCAAGAGGAACTGACCGAGTTTCTGATTGATTTTGCAAAAGTTACGGTGAAACTTGACTGAAAGTAGTACCCCAAATAATCAACCCCCCTGAGTGGATTTGACTGGTTTGACTGAAAAGTTTTAACCAATTTCACTGTTATTTTAAAAACTAAACTTCTCAAGTGTTTGCTCCCAGCTCCTCTTAGTCTGAATTGGCCAGATGTTGGGGTGCTCTCAGAACCAGACCGAGAAACAGGAAATCACACAGGGAGCCCTGACTGGCTGGCCCTTGACACAGGGCTGAGCCATCAGCAGCGTGCCCCCACCTCACACCCAAGCCTCACCCAGAGCCAGCCCATCTCCCCTGAAGAGGGAGTGCAGCGAGAGACTGCACTGGTCCTTTATCCCCCTTCTGGAATCTCCTAACATTCTAGGACCTGCTTTTTTATCAGTATTTCCACGAGCATTTATCTGCCTTCCTCTTCCTCGTTTCCAGCACTACCCCAGGTCTTAGAACTGGGTATCAGCAGTTCTAGGAAACACTGCTCCTGAGTTAGTTTCATCTGAGTGCCCACCTCTTGCTAAGAAGTCGTATGAAACAGAGCTCACCAGTGTGGGCTCTGGGTCAGCCCCTGGGCTTGGGGCTCTGCTCTGCTGGTTCTAGCTGCGTCATCCTGGGAAGTGTTCATGAACTGTTCTGAACTTTGATTTCCCCTCCCGAGTGGACATGATTCTCCTGCTCATCTCTTGGGTTTGTTTGAAGGTTTTTAGCAAGAATGCTAATGATAGTTAATGCTTGTTGAGCACTTACTCTAAGGCAGATTCTGTTCTAGGGCTACAATGACCTTAGGATCCTTGCTGATCCTCACCAAAGCTCACAAGTCCAGTAAGTGGCAGAGCCAGCAAAGTCCGAGCTGGCAGAGGCTTTCCCTCAGTGACCGGGATCCTGCCTCTTGGGCCTGCCCTGCACCGACTGAGTCCAGTGAGAGTTGGCTGGCATCAACTTCACCACCACAATTAGAACACTACTATTAGTGGCCTGTTTCTTGGGGGGAATTGGGCTGCTCTTTGGGCCCCACTTTGGTGAGGCAGTTGTTATTTGATGGCATGACTTTATATTCTTTAGGAGACCCTGAGAAGCAGGACCCCCCAGCTACCCTACCCCCCAAACTCTAAGAACCGTGGATATTTTCAACACCCCCCCCACCAGGCATGTTAGAACCACAGGGCCAGTTCTGTTTCTCAAGACCTTTGTCAGTCTACTCACATCTGGTCTGACTTTACTATGAGAACCTCCTGGGTTTCTTTCCTGGCACCTTAACAAGAACCAGATTTGCAGAGCATTCACCAGTCTGTGATGTGCACTGATATTTGCCAGGCTGTAGCCTGTAAGCTGTGGGCAATGCCAGTGGAGAAACTAGACCCCGCCCCCCACCTTGAGGAATGCCTGTGGCCACACCCGTCTCTGCTCCCCTTCACTGCCACTCCTCCTTGCCTTTGTGCGTGCTGTTCCCTGCCCCAGGTGTCTTCCTCCTCCTATACATACTTACTCAGAACTTACTGAAAATCTTCTACATGTTAGACATGATTCAGGAGCTAGAGACACAAAGACACGACCCCTCAGTTGCTCCCAGTGGTAGAGACATGCAAAGTCTCAAGGGACCACAGGCCTGGGACACCTAGGCCAACTAGGGCAGGACAAGGGAGAGAGTCAGGAAAGACCCCCTCTCCCCTCCATGGGAGGTAGCATCTAAGGACTTCTGTCTTTCCCACTTATCCTTTATCAACTAGCTGGAGTAGCACCGTGTTTGAAGCGCTCCCAGATTCCACAGACAGAATCATGCCTCTCTCTCTAGAGTTCCTGGCTTCGCACTTAAAAGAGAGCACTGATCACCACGCTGTTTGAGCCAGTTCCCACACACACACCACACACACACACACACACACCTCACACACACACACACACCACACACACACACACCATACACACACACACCTCACACACACACACACACACACTTAAGCCAATTCCCACACACACACCACACACACACACACACACACACACCGCGCACACACACACACCACACACACACACACACCGCGCACACACACACACACCACACAGACACACACACACACACACACACCCTGCCAACCCCAACCCTGGACTGCAAACTCCCTGAGGACAGAATTGGGTTCATTTCTGCATAGCCAAAGCCCTGTAGCAATTTTATAAATATCTGTTCAAAGTAAGTCTATGTCTCGACATGTATTGTAGCCACAGATGAATGCGTGTGTGTGTGTGAGCAAGTACATGCTAGTCATGGGGGGGTAGTTCTTGGGACTCATTCGTTAACATATTTGTTTCATTAAGATCTCTCAGTGTTCCCCATGACTGCCTCCTCGCTACATGAACAAGAGTGATAGTGGGCTCCCTGGTGCTTGGAAGCTGAAAGACTGATTCGGTCGGGCGGCAGGCAGCACTGGGAGACACTGATGCATCAGCTCCCATCACTGCTTCTCTCACAGCCAACTCAGAATTCCAGCAGGGCTTGGGAAGCATACCAAGAGATCACCAGCCCACCTTAGCCAAAGGGACCCTCCTCCTGATTCCCTACAGCTCTGCTCCCATTTAATTCCTCCACCCTTGAAAAAGCCATCCACTGTTCCAGCCTACAGCTGGAGTTTGGTGGGACAGTACCAAGGGCCCCTCGTGTCCTGACCACTGAACATTCTGGACAGAGACCTAAAGTTGTATCACAGGTTAATTCCTGTCTAGAAACTCATATCCCAGCAGGGCCCTTCCGGCTCCTGGGAAAGGGCAGTTGCCTGGATTGTCTAGAACAAGCAGGCCTTTGTAATTTCCAAGGAACCTTTCACACATTGTCCATTCAACTAACATTTGTGGAACCTTTGCTTTGTGCCTGGCACATGTCTTACTAATGATAACACGAGCAGGCACTTGCTAAGCTCTTCACATGCATCATTGTTTGGTCCTCTTTATAGAGACCCCTTTATAGAGACGAAGATGAATGAGACTCAGTTTATCCATTTCTCAACGATATACAGTGCTAAGTAGGAGAACCAGGCTTTGAATCTACCTCTCTCAGGTGCCTCAGACTCCCTCTCCTTCCCCATTCTGGGTGGGGGGTGCCAGTCTGGCTCCAAAGCCTATGCCACCCATAAGAAAGCACTCACCCCAGCGCTGCCCCCGGATCCAAGCACACTCCAGGTCCCACTCTGCCTGGTTTTGCCCTGCACCCCCAGTCTCCTTCCCAGACCCTGCCATACAGGATACTACAGCAGGAGACAGGCTCCTGGGTATGAAAACGTCACCCGCTGTGAGTGGTTGTGAGGCACTAGCGCTGGTGGCCAGATGGGCTGCAGAGCAGGCCGGGGCCAGCTGCCTGCCTCGTGGGGTCCCTCTCCGCTCAGGCACTCTCGGCTGGGGCAGGAATGACCCAGCATTCCTGGTGGCTGACGCACAGGAGTGCTCTTTCTGAAACGTTCTTGCCTAATCCCTACCCACCCAGCAAAGGGCTTTGGGCTCCATAACAAAGTCAATAGTAGCGCAAATGTCATCAGATCAGATCTATCTTCGGTTTTCAGACTGGACAGTACCAACCAAGCCAGTTTCTCGTCTGTCACCCTGACTTTATGTCAGCCCCTTCCCTAAAATGCTCCTGTCTCTCACTCGGAGCCTAGGGCTCTCCCAGTGTTTTGAGAGGCAAACATGAGGCAGGGTTTCCACACCCTTGGATCCTACCCCGAATTAAAAGAAGGTCAAATGAGTGCCACAGAACCCCCAAGCCCAGGGGTCTTTGCCCCTTGTTCCCTGGTGGGGGGTGAGAGAAGGTCCCTTCCTCTATGAGAGGCCAGTCCCATAGAGGTCTCCTTCTCTTAGGATTTGGAAGTTTGGAAACTCTTAATTATTCAGAAATTTGATGAGCATAGAAGAAAACCAATTGCAGTAAGAAAACTTGAGTTCAAGCCCCAGCTCCAGCCACTCATTGTGGAGTCATGAGCAAGTCACTCAGGAGCTCTGGGCATCACTTTACCCACTGCTTTATGAGAGGGCTTGACTTCGTCTCTGAGTATGATCCTAGCTTTGGAAATGGCCCCATTCCTTTACACGGGCAATCTAGGAAAATCATTCTGATGAGCAAGTTTTTGTTTTCAAGGCACTGTTCTATCATTCCTTCTTCTCTCACATTATCTGACAACACATGGTATTAATTGTCCATGTGCTACTGTGAGTAACAATAAGATGGAGAAGAGAAGAGATC